TACTCAGAGCTAAAAGAGATATTTGATAAAACCGTAAACATTAGAGTCAGCCCTCTCTGCTTGTCTGTTAGCAAAATATCCCATCAACAAGCGAACTGATTTAATTTTATTCTGTTAATTTCACTCCATCAGTCTGACCTGTAGGGTAGAGTTGTGCAGACATGACTGTGAAGGTTCTCCTATTGCTACAGAAGAACGTCGGACTGAGTCACCATCAGGGTCTTGGTCCCTTTGCCTTAAACCTTGGACCGCTCAGAGTGACTGGGCAGCCAGCTCAAGGAGTCCCACTGGTTTCAAACTTATTTTATTTACGAATGATGTGGGCCACCATTGAGCTTGAATGTTTTAAATCTTTTTTTTCCCAGTGCTGAGTCTCAATGTGGTTCTGTCTCAGAGGTCTACAGGCAAGTCCTTGGACCTCAAGGCTTGGTTTGTGCTCTGACTTATGGGAATTTTATTTAAAGACAAGCCCGCTTCCAAATCCTGTCCAAACTACAGTATTTATCTCCTGCGGGCACAAATCAAATAGAAACATCTGAAGGGTGATCAGAGGAAACAGGATGTACTCCAGCTCTATTTTAAGTGTCATGGTAAAGACTGTAAGTACCTGGGTATATTATATATTTTCCCTTTTTATTCTAATAAATGAGCAAAAATTCAAACTCCCATTTTTTTTACTTTGTCATTATAAGGTATTGTGTAGATGTTTGAGGTAAAATGAAAAATCTACGCAATCATTGACTTTTACTTCAACATTTTCCACCAAGTTTACCTCTAACAGCTTTTTCATCCACTTTCACTTCTTCTTTTTACTCAGAGAACCTGCTCAGATATTCTTTTAGTCTGTTGGCACAACCCTATATGTAAATCAATTTGTTCCTTTTTTTAACCAATCACTGGAGCTGCTTTCTGATCCCTTTAGATTCAGACGAACATATCACTTTTTAGCATTTTGCTTGTTTTAAAGTCAGCAGGATAACCTGTAACTATCATGTTAATAGTATTAAAGACAAAGGTTTTTTTGTTTCAGAATAATCCATCAGAGAACATTAGTTGGATTAAAGTTATTCTGCGGGCTTAATCTGATCTCTTTTAAGAATGAGAGCATTCGAGCAGCTGAAGCAGCTCCGTACCTGCACACACTGATGGAGTTCATTCCTAAATGTTCACCTTCTGATAAAGTCGTGAGGGGACACATGACTCTGCTTGAGAAGCACACCGAGTTCTTGCCAGCCACTTTGGGTGGCCATGGTTCTTATGCAGGGCACTTCCTTTAGGCTTCTAATGACAAGTGACCCCCGCGTGAACGGATTCTTAGAGACTAGGTCAGGCTTTTGGATCCAGGGGAGTTCTTAGTGCACCCGTCTATCACGCCTGGAAACCAGGCAATCAAAATGTGTATGAACAAACTCAACAACCTCTCAATTTAAAGCCACAGGAAAACAATTGTTTCCCAAGCAGCATGGGTTATTAAGACTTTATGATGGGTTGATCTTTCATCGTCTGACAAGGGTACTGGGACGTTTTTGAGGAAATGACTTTTAATTGTGTCACTGAGTGCAGAGTGACTTCTGAAAGAGGACAAAGTGTTTTGAGTTGGTATGCTGCAAGCAACGACTCAAGAGCAACTGAGCAAAAAAACAACAACTTGACATCAGTTTATAAATCAAATGGGGTCAGCTCTTCTTTGAGACAAGGTGCAACTTTCCACTGGACTTTATTAAAGACACAAGTGAGGTAGAACAAAACAACAATATATATACAGGAAATATATATTTATGAGGGCCACGGTAGATCAGTGGCCAATGCCACAGTCTCGTAATCCTGAAGAATGTGAGCCCAGGTTGCATTAGGAAGAACATCTGTGGAAAAAAAACAACTGGCAGATGTTTGTGCTATAGTTCGCTCCCTGTGAAGGGATCATCTGAAAGAATAACAACTACTGTAACAGCTATATTTATTTACTGCATCAACATACATATATATGTATAGGGTTTTGTTCATGCGTGATGGAAGAATGGAGACGGATTGGTGCAGCATCTGCAGTATTGTGGATTCTGTATCGGTCCGTTGAGGTGAAGAGGGAGCTGAGCTGTAAGGCAAAGCTCTCTGTTTACCGGTCGGTCTACGTTCCTACTTTCACCTATGGTCACAAACTCTGGGTAGTGATCGAAAGAATGAGATTGCAGATACAAATGGTTGAGATGAGGTCCCTCTGCAGGGTAGCTGGACTCTCCCATAGAGATAGGGTGAGAAGTTCAGTTATGGGTGTACAAACGGTAAGTGTTCTTTATTTACAGGTGGATTTTAGGCATCACAGCTGCAAGGAAGGAAAGGACAAGGTGAGCATGGGTTCTGATGTTGAGGTTTGAGAATGTTGATTCCTTGTAACAGAGAATGACTCATTACTGTTTGTTTTGCAGGTGCAGACCGAGAAGGAGAGGAGAGGTCCTGGGTTTTGCAGAAGATCCAAGTTGAGGTAAATGGCAGTGGACAGAGGAGCAGGTTGACCCAGTTTGGATTTATTTGAAGATGGATGTTGAAGGGACACAGTTGATCCACAGGTGAACCCTAGTGGAGAGACGAGGTCCTAGAAAGGACATGAAGAGGCAGGATGTGGAAGGCCCGGAGAAATCACAGGTGGTGAGGACCAGCTGTAACAAAAGTTTAGTTGGCTGTACACAAGATACCATTTGGCAGTTGATGTCCCAGCACTGAAGAGGCGTCTGGCAGGAGCTTAAATACACCATCAGGCTGCCCTCCTCAGAGCAGCAGCAGGTGGAGGTGGTACAGGTAAATAGCTGTGAAAGGAGGAGTGAGTGACAGGTAAAACCCAGGAATCCCACAGAACCGCTGCTCCTCCACATCGAGAGGAGCCATTTGAGGTGGTTTGGGCATCTGGTAAGGATGCTCCCTGGGTGCCTCCCTATGGAGGTGCTTCGGGCATGTCCGACTGTGAGAAGACCTCAGGGAAGACCCAGGACACGCTGGAGGGACTGCGTCTCTGGGTTGGTCTGGGAACACCTTGGAGTCCTCCCAGAAGAGCTGGAAGAGGTGACTGTGGAAAGAGATGGCTGGGCCTCACTGCTCAAGCTGCTGTCCCTGCGACCTGACTTCAGAACAAGAGGAAAATAATGGATGGATGGAACATATATATATATATATATATATATATATATATATATATATATATATACCTTATAGGAATGAGGTTTCTGATTCAAACCTTTTTGTACATGTTCTCCCTGTGCATCTGCATGTTTTTTTTAGTTGAAAAACGTGTTAGGTTAACTTGGACTTCTAAATTGACTTTATGTCTGAGCGTTAGGGATAAGGTGATCTTTTCTGAATGTACCCCACCTTTCACCTGCTGACCATTAAAACAGACAGTGGTCAGTGTTCAACGTCTTGTCCAGAAAATACTTGGACGCATGGCACAGCTAGGAATCATACCCTGAATCTGTAAACACCCTCTCCACTGATTTAAAAAGTAAAGTTAACTAGTGTTTTACTTAAACCTGAAATTGGTTCAGTTCATTTTCAGTTTATTTATATAGCACCATGTCACAACAGAAGTCATATCAGGGCACTGTACAAAAACATTCACATACATTATATCAATTAGTAAAAGCTATCCATCTAAGTAAGCCAGCGGATTACGATGATTCTTCACTTCATCGCAGTCTCCCATCCCGAGCAAGCGCACTGGCAACAGTGGAAAGGAAAAACTCTCTTTTAACAGGAAGAAACCTCCAGCAGAACCAGGCTCAGGACGCGCGGTCGTCTGCTTCCACCGGCTGAGGTTTGACAGAACAGGAAGGAGAAACAGACAAACACAGAATGACAGGTCCAGGAGTACTTTCTATTGGAGGAAAGACAAAAAACATGTTAAGATAGAAATAATTACAAATACAAACAGTTGGAGTAGAGCAAGTAAACACAGCAGCAGAGTGCTATATTGATCCTTATATGGGATTAGCATGATTAAACATTTGTATTGGGATCACTTTGAATTGTTACTTTGTTGTTGATATGTTACAACTGGCCATATGGATTTTAATAATATCCCTGTAGCCCATAATATAATGTTAATTTAACTAATTGATGACTGAATATGTTTTGTTGGGGCAACACAGTGTGCAGTGGTTAGAGCTGTCAAAAGGTCGCAGGTTCGTTTCCTGGTCTGGAGTCTTTCTGGGTGGAGTTTGAATGATCTCCCCGTGCACACGTGGATTTTCTCTGATTACTTTAGTTTCCTCCCACAGAGCAAAGACATGCATGTTAGATTAAATGATAACTAATTTGTCCGTAGGTGTGGGTGAGAGGTTTGACGGCTGCTTGTCTTGTTTGTCTCTATGTTGACCTTTGATGGACTTTGATGGACCCGCCGCCCGCACAGTGACTGCACCAGCTCTCTGCAACCAGGAGAGGCGGGCAAAGAAAATGGATGGACTGATGGATGTGTTTTAGTGAGAAAAGTGATTTTATTGTCACAATAAATTTAAATACTTTGAATGAGTTTGATCCAATGTCTTCATGTGTCACAGCGATCAAATTATTCGTTCCCATTCTGCACATTTTTACACATTTGTACAGTTTTTATACACACAATATTTTGTGCATCTTTTACTTAAAGTGTTCTATTTGTGAAGTTTGGGATTTTTAAGGTGGCTATTTAAAAAGGTTTTTCTCGTTTCAGCTGCTGCAACAATGAATATTTCACCACCTGCAAGACAAATATGGGTCTAGTCTATTCTTGATCGTAAAAAGCAGCATAATCTCTACAAAAGTCCTGTTTGTCTTTAGTCACTGTCAGATTTGACCAGTCAGATTTTTATATAGTATGAAATCCTAAATGAACATTAAATCCATTTTTTTCCTGCTTGTTTTAGGTCAGCTGCTGTAAACTTGTCTCTCTGCAGCCCCTTGCTCTCTGTGCACCCCGGTACCTCTGCTGTGAGAGCTGGACTGGTTTCCACTCGGCTGGTTTCCAAGTGGAGGCGCCTGAGAGCAGTGCGCAGGCTGAGTGGGAGCGCAGTCGCAGGTTATCCATCGCCTTGTGCGAGCTCTTTGCCACGTCTGGGATCCTCCTTTATAAAGACGTGAGACTTAACAAAAACCCTCCTCATTCATCTACGGGTGCAGATTGTTTTCTTTTCTTCTTCTTCTCGTGTGACCTCTTTCCTCTCTTCGCCTCCTCCCGATCAGGCGATTGTTTGTGAGAGCATCGTCCCAGGAGCCAAAAGGTTTGCAAACTGTCCTTTAGGAGACTGGTGAGTAGAGACTTTGTCTTCTCTTTGCATGTCCTCTTCTGTTTCACATTCTTTAACAGAAACTTGTAAAGTTGGTTTATTTCTACATGTCATCATATTGTTAAAGGTTTTCATGTTTAGTTTTGTCACGTTTACTGAGTCAAGAAAAGAATGCAATCAATGACTCATTGAGCCATTATATGTTCTGTGACAGTCTTTCTTATAAAAATATATATTTTTTAAAGGTTGTAACCCAAACTGCTTCCACTTTGCTTGTATTTTCACATAACTCTGAACTAACTGTTTCTTACCCAACTTTGAAAGTTCAAATTAATTATTTTTGTTTATTTGTAAGCTTTATTCATTCATGCCTCTTTTTAATAAGAGTTTACCATCAACCTGCCAGGAACACCACATGAAAATAAGCTCTCAAGCTCACATTTTCAGGATGTTCACCATTATACATGATTTAAAATAAATAAATAAAGTCTTGAAGTTACTGTTGGTCCTTTTTTTTCACCTCCTCTCTCAGCGGGCTGCCAAAGCGTCATGACAGCTGAGAAGAGTGGGCCGGTTATAAACGGTAAACCAGAGGATGGCAAAGACCCGGAAGGGTCCAGCTCCAGCATGGACAGCTATGAGTACAACGAGAGGGGCATGTGGAACAACAAGATCGAGTTTATCTTGTCTGTGGCTGGAGAGATCATCGGGCTGGGCAACGTTTGGAGGTTTCCCTACCTCTGCTACAAGAACGGAGGAGGCAAGCATTCTTTGAGCCCTGCCACCATGAAAATAAATAAAACTGTCTTGGAACTGATAAGACGAGCCTAAGAAGCATAATGTTCGTAATCTTAGCGAGCTTTTAAAGTGATGTAGTTGTGATGATGTCATTAAAAGAGGCAGGGTTCCTCATTAGGCTGCACAGTGTGGTGCTGCCTCATGAAAAGGTCAACATGTATTGTTAATGAAGCATCTTTATGAGTATTTCCCCATTATGTTGAATTAATGGAAATCTATAGAAAATAGGATTTAAAAACAATAGTTGGGCTGCTGTTTTGTTAGATTGGTTTCACGTATGCGCATTAATCAAGTTTATTTTGTTTTATTTTTTGCATGTGTGTGCATGAAGGTGCTTTCTTTGTCCCGTATGTCATCTTCTTTGTGTGTTGTGGTATCCCCGTGTTTTTCCTGGAGACGGCCTTGGGTCAGTTCACAAGCGAGGGAGGTATCACCTGCTGGAGGAAAGTCTGCCCGTTGTTCGAGGGTGAGGAGATTGATCATTTTATACTCCTTTAGTTGGGCTTTTAACATTTATCCACAAAAAAAGTTGTTTTTCTGTGACGGTCAGAAGGCCGTCACATGTTCACTGCAGTTTGTATCAACTTTTCCAAAACTGGATGTCTCCAATTCGATGCAACTCTCTTTTTCTTTGCAGGTATTGGCTATGCAACACAGGTGATTGAAGCTCATCTAAACGTGTACTACATCGTAATCTTAGCCTGGGCCATTTTCTACCTCTTCAACTGCTTCACCACCGAGCTGCCGTGGGCCGGCTGTGGGCATTACTGGAACACAGGTGAGAAGAAGAAACAATACATAATAGCAGCAATTAATCACGTTTCCAACTAAAGGAAAACAACAAATCTGCTTGGTATATTCTGGCTTGCTTTGATTGAAAAAAGAAATTAAAACGTCATTTTTACAGAAAACTGTGTTGACTATTATGGTGAAAACGCCACCAACATCACAAACCCCAACGCAACTTCTCCGGTCATTGAGTTCTGGGAGTGAGTACATTTTCATTTCTTATAATCCACAAAAGTGTTTTTTTTTTTTTTTCTGTTTAAAACATTAGCATCATCGCTTGTCTTTAGAAACGGTGACATGCACAGCCATGAAGTGTCATGCTCGTACTTAATGTGCCATATTGTTGGAAGACCGATGCCTCCAGCCCCCTCCCTGACCTAACCCCTTCAATAATTAGTCAGCTCTTTTCATATTTGTGTGTCAGCAGGCTCTAGCTAGCCGGCTGTCTCACAGCAAGACTCATGTGTGTGTGGCAGCAGATCACGCCTTGTTAGTGTGTAATGTTGACCGCACTTCCTGTTCCACTGCCAGTAGCTGTGTTCGCTCTGTCGTCCATCCATCCATCCATCCATCCATCCATCCATCCATCCATCCATCCATCCATCCATCCATCCATCCATCCATCCAT